CACGCTGAGTCGATTGGTGATGTTTGGTTTCGGTTTCGAATCGATTCAGAGTCATTTTGACGAACTTTTCAAAAACGTGTAATTCTGAACTATGGGATGCCGTGATGGAAAATTTCATCGTCTCATTAAAATGACTCTGAATCGATTCGAAACCGAAACCAAACATCACCAATCGACTCAGCGTGATAGATTACCCCGTTTTCATCGATTCCCGATTGACTTTTGATCTGATTTGCCGAAGTTCCCAGCCATTTTGAACTCGCGATATCTCCTGGTGAGAAAGTGACAGAGATCTCAACGACATCACATTCGATAGAGAAAAAAAATTCTCTATCGAATGGATATTTCACGAGCCGTAAGTCTGCATAATACGGGTTCAAAAAGTAGTCGGGACGCTAGCGAGTGAAATTTCACCTGATTGGTCAATACGTTGACCAATTCGGTTTTATACAGATCGATGCGTCTGAGTTTCCTCTTTCCAACAAAAAAAGACTTAGGTCTCTATCACCTTCCCTTCTTGAGTTATTCAAGAAATGGCTATCCTTTTTCTTTTTTGAAATGGGTAATAGTCTCGAAAACAAAAGGATAATTCTTAGACTTCTCTGACTAACTGAACCTTCCGAAACTCCGGCCATTATTCTGATTTGCTTTGATTTGCGGCAATGTGTTTTTATGAAAACATTGAGATTACTGTAGTAACCAACAACGATAAGTTTATCGTCAACTGCCTTTTATTTCTTTTTGGAATGCATCGAATGCCAGAAATGGAATTCATTTTTTATTGCTAATGTCTCCGACAAAGTAACAGATACTGCATCTAGAAGGTGGCGTCTTAAATGATGACGCATGAAAATATTCTCTCTCAACTGAAATGACAGTGGCTGTTTTTTTCTTTCCTTCTTCCACGGTCTCAATGGTAATATTAGCAGACACGCAGGAAAATGAAAAAGAGAAATGCGGGGAAAAAACCCAGTCACCAAAATTGTATATAAATACATGTATAAAATTTCGAAAGACATTTCCAAGAAAGTTATTACTGACAGATTCTCTGCACAAACTAAGCTGAGGTGTGTAGTATTCATTTTTTCGACTGACAAATCAGCCTTCCAGTTGAAAAAATATTCAAATTTTATTCGAATTCTTTCAACAATTTTACAGCCACACTATTCAGAGGATGGTTTCTGCTAAGATCATCAGTTATTAGAAATTCTTTTTTTCTCCGGTTCTAGTTTGTCTGCAAAACGTGTTGATTTATTAAGACATTTCAGATTGTTAAAAGGCGGAACGTACCCTATCTACATTATCTCATTTAATTACTAACGATCTTCGAAAAAGATAACCTGCAAACACACAACCATTATGGCTCTTCATTATAAAAATGATGGTAGTTTGGATATGCGTTTCAACTCATCGAGAGCAGCAATGCCATCAGGATCTGGTATGAGCTTTGGTGGATATTCTGGAGGATCTGGCCTACGTTCCGTTGGATATTCTGGAGGATCTGGTCTACGTTCCGTTGGATATTCTGGAGGTTCTGGCTACTCGCCAATGTCTTTTGGTTCAACTGCGTCTTCTCAACTTCATCACAAAAAAGATGGTACATTGGATATGCGGTTTAGTTCTTCGAGAGCTGCTGCTGTCCCTCAGCCAACTTATGGAAGTCGACCACCAAGTTCTTCTCAGCTTCACCACAAAAAAGATGGTACATTGGATATGCGCTTTAACTCTTCTAAAGGAGCTACGGCCAGTCATAGATCTGGAAACACATTCTTTGATCATGAAATACCAAAACACGTTCCTGTCACGAAAGCCGGTATTCCAGATATGAGAACAACAGCTGCTAAAGAATGGGTTAGACAACAAGCTCAAACCGGAGTCCAGGATGCTCCTTCTTGGTTACCGAGAACTAAAGATGGTTCTCTTGATATTTCAAAACCAGTCACACAAGAATACTTGAAACACACGGATGCAGCATCGACAAATTATGTTCCAGATCAACGGCTAGCGTATTATTGTCAAAAACTAGAGGACATGTTGTTTCGAACACTTGCAAAAGATGCCAGAGAAGATGAAGTAGAAATGCCTCAATATGAAATGTTACCTGAAACAGAAAATATTCAACAGCAACTTTGCTCTAGACCGGCCAGAAGTTTTCCTAAACAAGACGACTACTTCGATTATTCACCATATGAAACGTCATCTGAAACGCAAGAAACACAACGTCATTTTCCGTCGAGATCAACAAGAAGTTCTACGAGACACGATGATGAATATGATATACGTAGCGAAATTTCTGAAACAGTGACCCTAATTAACTATCGTAATTTAAACATCGATTCAAATGATAAACTAGGCCAAGGGTCGTTTGGTATTGTCTATAAAGGCATGTGGAATACTCAAGTTGTCGCAATAAAACAATTACATCTGAACAAGTTGACAAGACAAGAAAAAAATTCATTTATCAAAGAAATCAAAATCATGTCGACATTAGGTGAACATCCAAATCTAGTTTATCTCTATGGTTATACATTAGAGCCGCTTTGTCTTGTTATGGAATATGTCGAATTAGGTTCTCTCAGTCATTTACTTCATTACTGTGACGAGTCAAGAATCGAAGCGAAAATGACGGATGGAAGAATAAAGAAGAAACTGATTCTTGGTGTTGTGCTCGGAATGGCTCAGTTACATGCTTTTAACGTTGTTCATGGAGATTTGAAACCTCAAAATATTTTAATTTCCAAAGACTACACAGCTAAAGTGACAGACTTTGGCTTTGCGACGCTTCGTGGTAAAACAGCAAGTTCTATTGCCTCCTCCGCTCTATCCGATGATGGTTCAGCAGTGTGTGGTACCGCAGGCTATATGGCTCCTGAACTATTAGATAGTTCGAATCCGCCAGAATATTCCTGTGATGTCTATTCATTTGGAGTCATGTTAAATGAAATTATTCAAGAAGAGGAACCATATTCAGATCAGTTTCGAAATTTTCTTGGGCGGGGACCATTTGCCGCCGTAAATTATGCTAAACTCGGCAATCGACCAAAAATCAATGCAAGAACGCCTAGCTTCTTGAAGAACTTTATCGAAAAATGTTGGAACCGTGATCCTCGTAGACGTCCAACATTTCAACAAATTTTTAAGGATTTGAAACCATCCAACGTTAGTTTTCCAGACTCCTTTGAACTGTAAAGACGGCTCATAAATCCTTCTATTCAATTTTTTTGAAATGTCAGTAAGATATGAGAAAATATAATCAATAAATAAACTTAAAAAATCATGTTTCATGTTGCTGAAACACTGATTACCATGTCGTGAGGTTGGTAACAAGAAAGGAGATGCGTAGAGATCGGGGATTTTTTGTGAACACTGAGAAAACACCGAGTCAGAGATGACTCACACAGAGAGACAGAAGAGAGAACGATCAAGGACACACATACAAGCGAACGGTGCATATATATATATATATATATATATATATATATATGTGTGTGAGACGAGATGCAGGGAAGCTGCCACACATCAGAAAGAAGGGAAAAGATCTATGTGATCGAGGTCAGATGATGACACATGGGATAGATCCATGTACTGACCAGAGATCTCGATCACTGACTAACTGACAGTGAATCTCACTACGTAACATCTTTCCGAAAAAATATTGAGAAAGATTAGAAGCAGTAGTGATACTCTTTCTGGGTTTTTTACCTTGAAAACTAAATGGAAGTCCCTCCCCTCCCCCTCCCCCGATAGAAGACCCCCTTTAAAATTTTGTACGGGAAGTCACCATACAAGACCCGGGTCTTTCAATTCAGGGGGGGGGGGGGTATTTACTCTAGGGTCTGTTGGCTTCTTTTAAAGTCAATATACGTCCGAGAAAAGAATCTCGTTTTGTCTGTTTATTGACTGGACTAAGTGCTCGTTGCTATTCTATGATCCAGATACTGAAAACGATAAGCTTATGAAAGAGATGTAACTCACTTGTCCTATGGCAGAACATGATGAATGTAATCTGTGAATGTGAACCAACCTTTTGATTCCTATCTCTCTCTTACTATCAACGGTGGTGATGCTGGTCTCTAATGGGTCTATTCTAATCATAGCTATCTATGTGTACGTGATGCGCTGCCATCTCGAAGAACGACGAACAAGTTATTTTCGACATTCTTTTGAATGGATAAGCGTAAAAGAATGCATTTACATTCAATGAGAGGAATTCCATAGTTTTTCGATCGATCGAGTATGACACAGACAATCCAATCGCTGCACAACTGTCGCTGACTTGAACCATGTCAGACACCACAAGACAAACAGCAACTACATTTCCCTACAAGATGACTGTCAGCAAAGAGTCTTGATGACATGTGGCCGTCCTCTCCTGATCTTGCAAGATTCTTTCGAACGGTAGGTCACACGTCTCACCGACACCTCTAACTATTTCTGCTCGACATTTGGACGATCGTTATTAATTCGTCGCTCAAAACTGACGAATTCCTCCACAAAATGGCAATCTCCTTGAAGAATTGTCGAGTGGAACAGAAAAATCATTCTTTCCTTGCCCACTGACCTGATTGCACTCTCAGTTCTCCGCATTTGCTCCCAGTAAAGGCTGATTTGTCTATTCATCTCTTCCTCGCTTGCACAGTTCCACGACACCCTTTGGTCGGCTTTCAACCTCCCTGAAATTCCATCATTCTTCCACTCTGTCTCATTATCACTACTACAACTCTCTCTGTTCTGTCCCAAACACAACTCCAGAAGGCGTTCTCTCTTCATGCGGGTGCTCTCTCACTCTGACACTCACTACCTCAATAGGCATATGGCATAGTGCGGGTACCACGAGATCTTGATTCAGCGTTCTATCACTGTCCTGTTCTTGTTGAATTTCTTTGATATTTCGTCAACTGCTTCTGAATTCTCTCTGTTCCTTTGTTCGAAGGTTGACTCTGATCGTTATTCATTCATCGTGATTCACAAACTATGAATCATAATTGACCAATTCTTCCACAAAGTGGCATTCTTCTTGAAGAATTGAAGAGTGGAACAGAAGAATAATTTTTTCCTTGTAAACTGACCTGCTTAAGCTCTCTGTTCTCATCAAGTGTTCAGACTTAAGGCTGTTTTGTCTGTTCATCTGTGCATCGCTGTCTCTCTTCCAAAGTTGTTCTGCGCGCTTTGGTCGACCGTAGGACTCCCTCGACAGTTTCTTCATTCTCTCACTCAGTCTCTCATTCTTTCTCGTTCATTCTCTCTTTCTGCCTCACTGTTCCTGCTGTATCTCTAGCTACTGCTGTCCAAAACACAATTCCAGAAGGCGTTCTCTCTCAATGCTGGTGCCACGAAAGGAGTGACCAGTCCCGTACCTCACAGGGGTATATAGCATGGTGCGGGTGCCACGAGATCCTGATTGCACCCTACTACCCTGAAGAAGTTTTTTGCCGTGATTAAGAAAAGTCTCAAGGCAACGGAAGTTTTTTACCTAGATAAGAAGAGAAAGGCTCAGAGATGACAGTTAACTACGAATGTGAGACACAAAAAAATATATTCTGATGCGTGAAAGAGGATGGTGCCATGAAATGTTGATCCCTTGTTATTCAACTGTCCTGTTCTTGTAGAGTTTCTTTGATTTCTCATCAACCACATTTGAAATCTCTCTATTTTTCTGTTCCTCTGTACGAAAGTTCACTCTGGTTGTTGTTGATTCGTCGTTCAAAATTGGCGAATTCATCCACAAAATGGCAATTTCATTGGCGAATTGTCGAGTAAAACAACAAATTCAATCTTTCGTTGCCAACTGCACTGATCGAACATTTATTTCTCATTATTTCGTCTAATTCTTGGATATTTTGACTGCTCCTCTCTTCCGTGGTTCTACTGTGCCCTTTGGTCGGCCTTCGGCCTCCTTCGAAAATTCCTTCATTCTCTCATTCTGCCTCACGATCACTACTGCATCTCTATCGGACCCTGTCCAAAACACAACACCAGAAGACGTTCTCTCTCTATGCTGGTGCCACGAAAAAAGTGAACAGTCCCGCAGCTCACAAGGGTATATGGCATGGTGCGGGTGCCACGAAATCTTGATTGCACTCTACTACCTTGAAAGAGTCTTCTGCCCTGATCCAGAGAAGTCTCCAGGCAACCAGGATTTCCATCTAGATGAGAAGAGAAACGCTCAGAGATAAGAGCCAAACACGAATTGGGGACGCAAGAAATTTTATCCTGAAGAGTGAAAGGGTGTTGTGCGAACTCACCCGCAACGCGAACAATAAAAAAGAGTCGCAAAAGGAGGCGAATACAGGGCAGTTGCAGATTGCAATCAAGATATCGTGGCACCCGCACCATCCCATATACCCCTGTGAGCTGCGGGACTGGTCACTTCTTTCGTGCCACCCGCATCGTGCTATATGCCTATTGAGGTGGTGAGTGTCAGAGTGACAGAGCACCAGCATATAGAGAGAACATAGTCTGGTGTTGTGTTTCGGGCAGTAGCAGCCAGAGATGCAGTAGGCATAGTGAGGCGGAATGAGAGAATGAAAGAATTCGAGGGAGGCCGAAGGCCGACCAAAGGGTGCAGTGGAGGCCAGGAGGAGATGAATGGGCAAAGCATCCAAGAGTCACAGTGAATAGTGAGAACTTAGTGTCCAACCAGTTCAGTGGGCAAGGAGAGAATGATTTTGTTCTTTAACTGTTCAAATCTGAGAAAGAGATTGCCATTTCAGAGAGAAGCTTCTCAATTTTAAACCACGAATCAACAACGATTCAAGTCAACGTTCGACTACAGCGGAAATGCGAGAAACCAAGACAGCTTCACTTCATTAACATTCACGGACACCTCCACCGTCTCTTTTAGTTGTCAGTATTAATTTTTGTGTCTCCAAATTCGTGTTTCACTGTCATTTCTGAGCATTTCTCTGATCAACTAGTTAGAAACTTTCGGTTGCCTTGAGACTTTTTTGATCACGGCAAAAGGCTTTGATCACCTATGCGAGTGCAATCAAGATTTCGTGACACCCGCACTGTGCTATATACCCCTGTCAGCTGCGGGACTGGTCACTCCTTTCGTAACACCCGCATGAAGAGAGAACGCCTTCTGGTGTTGTGTTTGGGGCAGAACGGAGAGTTGCAGTAGTGAGGGTGAGGCGGAATGACAGAATGAAAGAAGTCCAGGGAGGTCGAAGGCCGACCAAAGGGCACAGTGGAACCAAGGGAGAGATGAATGAGCGAAGCATCCAAGAGTTACAGTGAATAATGAGAACTGAGCGCTCAATCATTTCAATTCGCAAAAAAATGATGATTTTACTGTTAAACTCGACTATTCTTCACGAAGACTGCCATTTCAGACACGATTTTTCAAGTTCTGAACTACGAATTAGGAGCAACTTAATTCAGTCTTCCCACAAGGGAATAGGGAAATAGAGAGATCTTAAATGCACTTGATGAGAAATTAAACAAAATCGACAAGAGCTGGACGGTTGTACAAGAAGAGATCGCTCTTTCGTTGAACCACACCTTTTTTATTCAAAACTAAATTTTTTTGTTTCTCCCATTCGCGTCTCATTGTCTTCATTGACCGTTTCTCTCATCAGCCAGATAGAAAATTGCGGTTGAGTTGAGACTTTTCTCATCAAGGCAAAAGACTTATTGAGAGTAGGCGAGTGCAATCAAGATCTCGTGGCACCCGCACTATGCTATAAACCCCTGTGAGCTACAAGACTGTTCACTTCTCTCATGGCACTAGCATAGAGAGAGAACGCCTTCTAGAATTGTGTTTTGGACAGCAGTAGGCATAGTGAGGCAGAATGAGAAAATGAACGAGAAAGAGTCAGAGACAAAGTATAAGAATCGAGCAATGTTCGAGGGAGGCCGAAGGCCGACCAAAGGGCGCAGTGGAATCAAGGGAGAGAGGAACAGACAAATCAAGTCGGAGTGCGAACAAATGTTGAGAACTGAGCCCTCAATCAGATCAGTTGGCAAAGACAGCATGATTCTTCCTTTCCTCTCGGAAATTCTTCAAGAAGATTGCCATTTTGTGAAGAAATTCGTCAAGTTTGAACGACGAAGGAATAAAGACCGTGCAAATGTCGTGCAGAGATATTTAGAGCTGGAGGAAGAGAGAAAGAATCTTGCCAGATCTGGATAGGGCGGCTACGTGCCATCAAGATTCGTTGCTGACGGTGATCTTGTAGTGAAATGCAGTAGCTGTCTGTCGCGTGGCGCCTCGCATGGTTTAATTCAGTGGCAGTGGTTCAGGGATTTCATTGTCTGTTTCTTCTTCGACTGATCGAAAGCTATGGAACTGCTCTCATTGAATGTAAGAACATTCTTTTACGTCTATCGATCCAAAAGAATGTCGAGAACAATTTGTTTTTCTTTCTTCGAGATAGCATCGCATCATCTGCACACGAATCGTTTTGAGCAGAATACTCCCAATTGAGACCAGCAGCCTCGAAGAGTTCTGATTCACACAGTTCATTCATCGCGTTTTGTCATAGGACGAGTGAGTTAATTCTCTTTCATCAGCTTATCCTTACCAGTGTCTGGATCATAGCATAACCACGAGTACTTAGTTCAGTCAATCCCATTCATCACTACCGAAACGAAGATATTTTCGTAAAAAGACAATTAAAACTAGTTCCTGCTATGCATCCGTACTTTTGGCTTCATCTTTCTTCAGTTCTCGGATTCCTAGTTCAATCTGAAGATCCTTTTCGTAACTGAGGTGAAATCATGATCGTGGGATTATTCTAGAGCTCACCCTCTGATCTCACCTCTGGGACTGGATCTTGTCATCAAACGAGACATTTTGGGACAGTGATAACTGGATCTTGTGATCTCATTAGTTTTGAATCATTGAGAATCTTTGCCGTCTGATGATTTTCTTTGATGAAGTGAAATCTTAAGACTCTGGTCGCTGATCTCACCCTCACCCCTCACCCTCACACCCTCACACCCTCACCCTCAGTGGATAACTCATTCTCGCGAAATGGACATATGATCGAGCGTATGTAAAAAATTTTGATATTGGTATGAGATTCGCATCTGCTTTCTGTCCCATATCTCGGCAAATAACGCAACGATGAACTGAATGCAGCGACTTGATATTTAAAGGCATCTTGGTCAGTATTCTCATTGCCGAAGAACGTAGACTCGTGAGCAAGGACCTTTTATTTGTGAATAATAGGTTCTGATATGATCATACTTTTCCGCGTCTTTCACAGACTGGAACGTCGACATTCCTGATAGAGATGTAAATTTTATTAGAGGAGCTTATGTTTCAGATGAAAGCATGAATTCTTGTTGGCGAAAGCATTTAAAATATGGTTCAAAGAAAAGTTTGTTAGAAAGCTCGATTAACATGGTGAGAAAAGTGAAAACGAAAAAGAGTGTGGAAATTTTGTTGATGTTATGAAGTCAATTCTTGTGTGCTGTGCCAATGATCGAATCATTCGTATTGAAAGTTTTTTAACCGGCATTTTTCAACTTTACGCTCGTCAATGGCAAAGTTGTAGCGTAAGTCATCGATGGAAAAGAACCGTTGACTGGTAGCTCCAAATGATTGGAAAAGTAAACCTTGTCTGAACCCGTACACGGCTCGCCGGCACCGCGGCAATGTGATTCTCCTATCACCAAGGCGAAGACTAACTTCGGACCTTGATTAGTTTGTAAAGTCATAATCTCGACAGTGTTTAGCAGCACATTGCCCTTCGAATCACAATCCCAGACACCAATGATATTACTCCGCTGAGCTACTAGAGATAGCAGCCCACTGAAGATCAAACCATTGCGATACAGATAAGTGGTACTGAAAATCTTTTCACCAGTTCTGGGTAGCACAGAGAGAGCTGCATAGGAACCAGCATATTTCTGATGACATGCTTTGAGAGTTGGTGTTTTGAAAATACGGTTGCTAACAGAGGATCCACTGCTTACTTCGTCGTATCGACCATCTCTGAACGGTGGTCGTTGATATTGCAGGGGATATGGAACTTCATAAATTGTTCCAGTACAGGTGGAATACTCGTCGTTTGTGCATTGCTGCGAGAAGGTGCCGTCCATCAATCTCTGTTCGGCAGTCGTTTCCGCATAAGTAAAATAATTGTATCGACCAGAACGCGATCCTTTATTGTTACAAAACCACTCACCTACATAAGTAGAAAACAAACATCGTACACATTATTGTTTCTGCAACATGAAGATCACTTTTCACACATACCTACGGATGAGCCCGAGCTATAAGTACCGTTTGGGTTTTGTTCTGCAGAGTTGATCGAAAAAAAGTAGCCAAAGCTTCCGTATGCTGTCACATCAAAGGAGCCATCCTCATATTTTTCCACATAAAGTCCGCTCATGTCCGTGTAGCAGCGATCCTGATCAGCATTTGTCACTACTGGATGGGTATAAAGACGAACTGAACTGTAGCGCCGAATGGTCATTGAATTTGGAACTGGACGTTCAAATTCGCCAGTCTTTGCATTGGGTATGTCCGCTAGATACGATCGGCTTATCACTTGCCCATCGGTACACGTCACCGGCCTGTCTGAACAAGCATCGATTGCACCTGTACATATGACTGAAAATTTAAGCAAGTCGATCGTCAAATTGTTTCCCCGCTGTCTATAACGGAAACCCTCCGTAGACAGATTTGCAACTCGACCGTGTCGATCATTTTGGCAATGGTAAGTTCCAGCCACATCACTATAGTAGGCACCTACGTTCTGTTTTTCACCTGAGTCAAATTGTAGTACACCACCGCGCGTGAGATAGTAGGTGAGACCATAGGTACTCTCTGCATTACCGAGGTATTTTCGAATATAGATGCCACTGATATCGGTATAGCACCGTGCCTCGGAATCATTGGCTGCTCCTTGCAGAAAGATGGCAGTAAATGCGATGAGTGCTAAGAATAGCATTGACGGATGACCGGGTGAATTTCGATGCTCCTTGGTTGGATCTCAGTTAAGAAGCAAAACCGACAATCTGAAAACAGAACAAGAGGACTAGAGCGACAGAGATCGACGCATGCATCGATTCCGATCGTTTATCAAACGGAAACGGTTTATCATTTCTTGTTTAGATTTCCTTTTGCTCTTGTATGGCGAGACTGGAGGCTGGATTGGAACAGCGATACCCACGCCAGCCGTATGAGGACAGGCCAGCAAAGTGAGGATTGTAGTCGCAAGGGAAAATGAAGACAAATCACCGATCGCCCGTCATTCAGAGAATCAAAATGGTTGTGTTCGATGACTATCATAAGACCGGTAGATATTCTTTTTTGATGTAGTGATGAGTCTGTTGAGATAGTATGTTTATATTTACTTCTATCTTCCATGTATCTCTACTCGGTAATCCCTCTCTCCTTCTCACCTTTTTTCTCTCTCTCTGTGTTTCGGTCACAGTTGATCGATTTTCTTTGTCTACTAACACTGTGAGTTCGATCGACAACCATACGTAAACAAACTAAAGATAAAACTTGGCTGTTTGTTATCAGGTGTTTCTTCATCGACCTGTGCACGTGACGGTCCACCCTTGTGGGCGAGTTTTTTCCAGAAAAACTGATCTAGCGCTACAACGGTGTGATCGACATGAGCTTAGGCTCCAGACACACAAAACACACTAAGTGTTTTATCTTTCTCTAAGAAGAATGGATGTAGGACTGCATGGCCAGTCTACTCCAAGGGGGAAATAGCGGATTCTTGAAATTCGGAATCCCAAAGAGTACAAAACCAATCCCGAGGATCCCAGGAGTACGTGCGGATCCTGGGAGTACGATAAGGATCCGAACAGTGGGTGAATCCATGGGAAGCGTACCACCTTTGTGGAAAGTATTTTTTTTAGTGCCCTAATTGAGTTTTTCAGGTAGCATCGAGCTAGAAAACACAATCTGTCAAAAAAGATTCGATAAAGATATGTGAAATCATCGAGATCTGGTCACCGCCTCCGGTACAACCAAGACTGTTCCCTGGTGCACGACTACCTCAATTACTTCTTTTAGGAATTTGTCCAAAATGGTGAATTTCACATTTTGACGCGTAGCTAGTTGGAAAATAAGTTCATCTGTGGCCATTTGTAGCGTTCAGAAGGGCTGAAATCAAGCTCTGATTTTTGATAAGTGCTGTATAGCTGAATCGATCCCCATTTCTTCGTAAAGAACTCTGTATTTGAGAGAAATATTATTCAAAAGAGAATGTTTGGGATTCGAGAGATCTTGAGGTACGTCGATAATCAATCGACTTGTTCGGCAAGACTTGGAATTCATGCATACTACGAATACCCTTGATCATTCCTATAGATAAATAAATATCCATGGATCTAGTCAGAAGCTGCTATACTGCTTTATTACCTGTAGACTTGAGTTTGTCAGTTCTAGGATTGATGACACGAGTTTTAACTCTCTCGACTTCACTGGCTTCGAGGAATAGCAGAGTGACAGTCGGATTTGCTTGAGCGCTTGCCTCAGCTGTTTCAAGTTGTTGCTTCTTCAGGAAGTCGAAAAGTTCTGTCGGTGACGACAGACGAACACCTTTCGATAGAGTTGCTCGTCTCGCCGTGGACTTCAGAAAAGCACCGACGCCATCTCCGGCACCTTTACCGTGACCGGTGGCCGTAAACGTCCATGCGGCATCTAAGCCAAAGTCGTCGCTATGATAAGCCAAATTGAGCATACTGAGGTTGTTCTTGAAGTGCGCACTTGCACCGTCGCTGAGGGAGAAAAAGAAATTACATGTTTATATCCTGACCTAAAAGTCAGACTCAGCTGACGACTCACCTCAAATATTTGATTCTCTTTACCGCCGGAAAATGCTTCTTCACGAAAGAGGCGATAAGCTTTTGAGCACAATAGACGAATGTTGTGGTATGTTCCATGCAATTGCTAACAATAGCCAAATCTCGATGCTCTGAGCCGATGATGAGATGCGCAGTGAAGAGAGTTGCTTGATGTTGAGAAAAGAAGCCTTGCTGCACTTCACGTTGACGCAGGAGAGTGTAATTCATCGAGAAATCGATCTGTGCAATGATGTATGTCGTATAAGTCGATTGCGTTCGGAGATGACTGATGTATTCGCGCTGTTGTCGATAGCAGTAGGTGTGTAGAAGATACACAGACCATTGCTCGTCAATTTCACTGAGGAGAGCAGCGAGAGAACCGGTCACTTTGTGGAGATCGAATTTGTTGTTCATTTTTCTCCATATGGTCCACGAACACTCCTCATCGAGATCGATTTCGATGCGCTCTGTCAGAATGTCTTGCAGTTGTGTTGTCGGACATTGAGAGCATTCACCCGTGTAGCAACCATCGGCTTGTACTGAGCAGGTCATTCGACTGACAAGACTTTGAGTAGTGAAATTTTCGACTGTTCCACTGAAGGATTCCTTCCATATTCGTTGGTAGTCATGGTTCCATGCCTGTTGTTTGATAACATTATTTCTATGAGCGAAAGAATAACAAGTTTACGCACCTGCAGTAACAATTGCATGTTCTCATGATAGATACACATGCATGTTTCATGAGGTGAGACGATCTTTACGTTTCGAGGTCGAAGAGAGTAGAAAGTCGAGCGTCCAACAACTCCAGGATTGCGTTTGTTGAATTCATGGAAAGCATCGAGTAAAGTCGTCTCCATGAAACGCACAGTCACTGGCTTCTTTTTGATGTGGATGACATCTTTAGAGTTCGATGAGATCCGACTGATACCGTCTTCCTGGTAGAATTCGATAACGGCAGTGATTGCTTCTGCAGTGATTGACTTGTTTCCACGAAAGTATTGAGGCGATACAAGAACATGATTGCTGTCACGCATCTGAACCGCTCGACGCGCCTGACGCTCATGTGACCGAAACCTAACAGAGCAAAAGAGAAAATGAATCCAAAGAATGAAGTCACGAATGAAACTGTTCCGATTTACGTACCATCGTTCAGTTTTCTTGCGGCCCCATGCTTTTGGGGCAATCGTCATCAAACGAATCTGCTCAGCTACACTACTTTCATCGAAGAATTTCTTGAGGCCCGTGAGTAATTCGTTCGATTCTTCAATCGAAAGTTCATGAGGATTGGCTTGTGTCGAACAGGGAGGTATTGCTTCGAGGACATTGCAAAGTTGATGAAGAGTTGTGTAGACCTGATCAATTTGACGACGAATCGGAGTAACACGAGATCTTGAAATAAAAAAGGTCCTCGAAAAGTTCGAAGAAATCTGTAAACTCTCTGATCATGGATCGTTTTCATATTAAGCGTCCGAAAAACACTGAATAACATTTCCATAGCTTCTTGTTGATTGTGGGTAAGCTCAAGTAGCGAATCTTCGCTACTGTCTTCTTCTTGACCGTCCATGTCGTCATCATGGTTATCTTCTTCTTCCTCTTGCTCTTCTTCTTCTTCTTGCTCTTCCTCTTCTTCCTTCTCTTGCTCCCGTTCATCTTCGTTGGACATTTCATCATTTGAACTGGTACACGCCTCGTATTCCATGTCTTCGTCGTCTTTCATTTGTCGACGTTCAAACGCATGACATTTCGCACAGAGTCCACTGACGTCATCAGCTTCAACGTCGTATCGAGCACGTATGAATTCAGCAAGCCGTCTGGAAGTCATTCTCTGAACTTTTGGTGCTTCAGATGACTTATTATGTCTTGTTGGATGTTGGCAAAAAGTTCTTCTCGGCATTTTCGCTATTTTTGATATGAGTCAAAAACGAAGTGGCATCGAAAACAGCCCCGTTTTCGATGATTCATGTCAAGGCTATTGGCTCGAATAGATCACGTATCTTGCATGTGCCTCCGTGAAAATAGATATCGTTACAAGTTTAGAACACGATAACTCAAGTAGCATCCCATAGAGTGATCGCGTCATTTTTCTGAACAGGATCGAACTGTCCCCATACAAGATATGCCTTTCAGATGATCGTCAGGATCATGCACCTTGCAGCGGTCGATGTCTCGTCGCATAAACAATCGTTCCAGATAGCTTGATTGATGACGAGAAAAACATGTAATGTAAGATTCCACAGGTGTATTCTATCTACGTATAGCAGATCTCTGATCTTCTCTCAAAACTAGATGTTGTACCCTAGATGCGACCCAGATTCTTCTTACAGGAATACCACGACAATGGGAAAAGAGTCCTTTTGAAAGTTTTTTCAAAGCAAAAATGCAATATCCAAGGATCTGACGTGATACACTGAACATTTAGTTGAAATTACCGTGTGCAAGCTACTATCCTTAGTTGTACCTGAAGCGGTGACCAGATCTCGATGATTTCACATGTATTTATCGAATCTTTTTTACGGATCGTGTTTTCTAGCTCGGTGCTACCTGGAGAACTCAAATAGGACACTAAAAAAAAAACTTTCCACATCGTGGTACGCTTCCCATGGATTCACCCATTGTGGAAAAATAACGAAATGAATTAGGAATTGTAAATCCCAAGCGAAACATAAAGTTGAGAGGATGGATCTTTCTTCGCAGGATCTGCTCTAATGTGTGTTGATCTTCTCTATAATGTTTAGAATAAAAATGGAATGTCCTATTCTTGAACAGAAACACGTCATTGTAATCCTCTGAAGATCGGTGAAAAGATATTCCAACCGTTGAATAGAAACCTCGCTTCACGCGCCGACATCAGTGAAGAAATCTTCGAAGACTATCGAAGACATGTCGACGACAATGTGAGAATGAGTTTCCCGACTTCTTCTAAACGCATCTCCGTCGTCGTTATCGTGGATCAGTGAAATGATCGTTAAGAGACTAATCTCGATAGTCAGTTGGATCCTTCCAGAGTGACAACAGTTCAGCCAAGAAATCTAGTTATCTGTCGCGTTTCAAGAGAGCACCACTGACAGAGTTGCTCGATCGGTGAAGAAGTGGAATGAACAGAAAGATCAATTCTCCTGAAACCATTTTCTGCCGATCAGTGAAGAGATCAGAATGCGTGTGGAATTGATTCAAAATAATACAAAGAATCAGTGTAGCTTCACGTCATTGAAGAAAATGTCTCCTGATCGAAATTCGGCTCTATCATCAACGACGTTAATGGATATCTATGCAAATAGAGACAGATAGGGATGCTTGTCATAGTCATCGAATCATGCCTTGTGTAGTTGCTGTTGTTAGAAAGATGCCTCTGCGATCTTTCCGAAACAGTGACCGCTTTCGATTTCGCTACCGAGTGGATGTTGTACACAGTCGATTGCAACAAATTCAGGCGTTCTCTCAATGTGAGTCTGCCTTCAGCTGGAGGTCAAAATGAATGGTTCCTGATAGAAAGACCGATGGTTTCTTGGCGGATCAGAGTGATGGACACTGTGCTGAATACTAACAAGCTAAAATGAATGATTCGAGTAGCTCAACCGCCAGAATCATAGTCGAATCGGATACCGAGAGAAATTCGACGAGAATTGGACAGTGTTACAACGCTGAATCAAGATGTCGTGGCACCCGTAACGTGCCATATGCCTATGGGGATAGTGAGTGTCTGAGTGAGAGAGCACCCCCATGAAGAGAGAACGCCTTCTGCAGTTGTGTCTTGGACAGCAGCAGGCATAGTGAGGCGGAATGAGAGAATGAAAGAATTCGAGGGAGGCCGAAGGCCAACCAAAGGGCTCAGTGGAACCAAGGGAGAGATGAACAGACAAACTGCTCAGGAGTCAGAGTAAATAATGAGAACTGACCACTCAATCAGTTCATTTGGCTAGGAAAGAATGATTATTCCGTGCAACGCTTCAGTTCTGAGAAGAAGATTACCATTTTGTGGAGGAATTCTTCGATTTTGAACGACCAATCAAGAATAACCAAAGTCAACCTTCGGACAGATGAACAGAGAAATAGAGAAAGATTTCAAATGTAGATGATGAGAAATCAAAGAAAATCGACAAGAACAGGACAGTTGTATAACAAGCGATCAATATTTCATGGCACCATACCCTTTCACGTATCAGGATATATTTTATTATGTCTCCAATTCGTATTTGACTGTCATCTCTGAGCGTTTCTTTTATCACTTGGATAGAAAACTTTGGTAGAGTTGAGACTTTTTCTGATCAAGGCAAAAGACTTCGATCAACTAGGTGAATGCAATCAAGATCTCGTGGCACCCGCACCATGCCATGTACCCCTGTGAGCTGCGTGACTGGTCACTCCTTTTGTGACACCCGCACTATGCCATATGCCTTTTGAGGTGGTGAGTGTCCGAGGGAGAGAGCACCCGCATGAAGGAACGGCACAAGGAGTTGTGTCTTAGACCGAACGCGTAAAGAGAGTGAATGAAGAAATTCTAGGGAGGCTGAAGGCCGACCAAAGAGCGCAGTGGAATCAAGTGGAATTGTGCAACTGAGCATGAGAGACAGAGATGAAGAGATGAGCAGGCTAGAAAGGGAAAGAGTGTGATCAAATATTCAGAACGGAGGCACGAATGCTGTCAGTTTTCTGACCCAGATCGATCATTCCGATCGCAGGAACCGGTCGGATCCGTTATGTTCGGTTATGTTCCTTGCAACCGGATTCCGGCCGGTTTTTCGCCGGACAAATTCCGACGACTTTCCAGTCGGAACGCACTAGAATGCACCGGAACAGACCGGA